CAACTTATAGACAGGGCTGCCGCCTTCTTTGCCCTCCTCTGTCGCACAGTCCGCAGACGTGCTCTGTCAGTCCCAGCGCTTTCACTATGCAGCATGTCCTACGCTCGTGACTTCCACAGGTAACTGATTAACTTGACCTGGGGACGCCAAAGTACAAACTATCCTATCGGTCTTCTCCCAGTTAGCTCAGTAATAGCTCAACTAGGCTAACATAGTTTGGGATATACAAGTGACTTGTTTGTGTTTTTCAACACTTGTTCGGAGGGGACGGCTGGACCGGTCGATCTGAATAAACTACACTTAACTGCTTAATTAATTTAAGAAATCTATAAAGCAGAGACTTCAGATACATTTGCAAACATGCTTCTTGTGCCAATGATATCCACGGTCCGAGTTAAACTAAGTCCTGTATTTTGAGCGCACTTTTTAAGATTATTCTCAAGGGCCAAAAATAACACTGGTGCGCCCCAAGGCACAGTAGAAGCCGACTGATGACGATAGTTTGTAAAAATTGTTTTTCAGTAATGCTCTGTTGTTGTCCTTCTACTCCGCGTTTTGCTTATTCTCTAAAAACCGAATCGCGTTGTCTGATTACCTTTCTACGTTACCGTATAAAATGTCCTTTCATCTAATAACTGGAAGGAGTTGGGTGTGAGAAACTGACTAGCAGGAACGACTTAAGGGACCCAAAGCCTGACTCGATTTCTCAAACGCTCAAAGTAATCAACAAGCCACTAGGCAGATTATGTCCTGGCCCTATCTGCATGTATTCAGGCCTGGAGGTTAGTCATCTGGCCAGTAGGGGATTGGTGGGAGTCAAATAAAGCGCTACCATCCCATAGACATTTAATTAAATCTCTCCAAACAACGCCCTGTGGTCCAGGCCCATACACTTATACGTTGTAATTAGGCAGCTGGTTTTGGGCGGCGACTAATTAAGCCCACACAATTCCTTCTACTGCTCCTTGCAAAACCGACTGGGGGTGACGTGAAATTGCAATGGCGTAAGGACGAGGAAAGTTAATGCGGGACGTGCGCAGACGCATTTGTAAAAGACCAACTGCGGCGTACAGGTCTGTAATAATATCTGACGAATTCTGGGCTGCTAGTCACCATCGGGGGGGCAATCCAAATCTTTACCAACCGATGCAAACGTGTAATACCTGATAATGGCGATTCGTCCTGGGTTGCCGTAAATCCAGTTATTTCTTTCCTCCTGTAGATTCCAAAGATGCGCCAACGGTATCATACGTGACACAACAATTTCTTAGTTCAGTTATCCAGAATATTAGTAAATTATTAAATTTCACTACCGAAATGGAAACTTCATTGCACTTCCTCATGGTGTCTGCAGACGATCTCCCTCGGTTTACCTACAATCGCCTTTATCAAAGCAGGCAAGAAACCCATAAAAGTAGTCCAGACTCGTCATTAACCGATTAGGCAATAATCGTTGATCAGTCTGATCCGCGCCGGACTGCCAAGGTACGAAATTTCAGTCTGCGTTAGCAACCACAATAAGAACTAGACGATAACACTTTCTCCGACGATCTATAATCTAATGGTTAAGCAACTGCATTTTATTTATAAAAATGAACAGTAGCGACATAGATAGGAGGTGTCAGTGTCATGTTGCCTATCTCGAATACTGGATAAATGCCGGGCTGTCCTGGGGTAAATGACTTCTCCAGATGAGGTACCATTGTCTAAAATAAAACACGTCCATAAGTCGCGAAGGAAAGTCCATCCTCTCCTCGCTCAGTCTGTTCACCTTTTCTAAAGTTTTGTTTTGCGCTGTCAAGCCCTGGGCTTTCTAATTACCCAATCTTAAGGAGGTTTTGCATATGCTTGAAAACGTTGAATCAGTAACTTACTTTAAAGGCCGGAATAAGAACAGCGCGTGATTTCCACATGTAAATCACCCTTCTGCCCGAGAGGTGCCGCGTGGTACGGTACTCATATAAATGGTAAACAAGTAGTATGACTAGTGGTACGATTCGAAGTCAGTCGAGGGCCTAGAGCAACTTTTTAACACCCGAGGTTTCACGGGATTTTCTACCCAGGATTTCCACCTAGGAGTCCCATCTGTGACTTAGAATGTGGGAGCTTAAGATAAAAAATTTAACTCAAAGCTCCGGATATAATATTAGGTCACTTGTTTCAGACATATAAGCATCGTTCAAGAAGACCCTTGTAACCGATCAAAAAACTGATTCCAAACTAGGCAGTGCATACTGCGAACTCTCTCAAAACAAAGCTTTCCAATATGCGGTTATTTAACACCGCAAAGGCGAAACATAACTGTCTCGTTCAGCAGACAGTTTTGATGATTAAATGGTGAAAAATTGAAAATCGGGGATTAAAACCTAATGAGAATTAAAAGGTTTTTGAAAAGCAAAGAGCACACAGTGTATCATTGTACGCATGACGTTATGGTGTGAAGAGCTGTCACATTTGGCAAGACATTTCTTTGTTTGAATTAAGTCATTGACAGTTTATGTACAGCATTTCGACCGTCGATTTCGACGATGCCCACTGCAAGGTGCAGCAGACACGGCGGCCTACGCATGAATTAGTTTATAGTGAATTTGGACTTGCGCAGCTTCCACCGCACCCTCTCTCCCCTTCTCCCTACCAAGGCCTGGTGTCACGACAGAGCCAAGAAAACCGGAGACGGAGGAGGGCGCAGGTGGCTGGCACGGCCGGACCCGCACCTAGGCATACCACCCCACCCCCTGGTCCACAACATACACTTGACCAGGATTTTTCCCCAATACCAACAACAACACCCAAACAGTTTTCAGAAGGACGAGGATGATTGGACAACCATGCCTACCACCTCTATGCCCAGCGCGGGCGCACGCGCATCTACCGACAGAGAACAAACGCATACCAGGCTGTGAGGGCCATGGTTTGCTGCTACTGGCAAAGTGCACGCTTTCAGACCTCTTGACCAACGAGGGCGACACCTGGCCCTCTATTTAGCCTAGGACGTCACCCTGCTAGGTTGTGTTACCAAACAGTCGTTAACTAAAAGACTACCCATAACACACACACACACACACAAACACAAACACTCTCCTCACATGCACGAGAGTGTCACAGATCGTTTGAGAAGGAGCCGTGACAGCCTGGCTCTCCAACCGCCAGTCTGCCACTCCATACAACACACACAATTTGGCAGACAGCGTAGACTGAATTAGGGCGTCAGTCGGCTGCCTTCTGAGCCACGGGGCTCGACACACCGTCCACGTCTCAGACTCCGATCACACATGCAGCAAAGGAGCCGCATGGAGAAGGAGCCAAGACGCACACTTTCCATTTGCGTGCGAGGTGACAGTTAGGTGCTTGCGGTGGGTGCTGCTTACGTGCTGTGATGCTGGTGAGGGAGAATGTGATGGTGTGGTGCAGCCGGCGGTTGTCTACCACAGGCTTTTGTGGACGCACATGTGGCTTAATAGACCCATACGGTGACTGAATATGCGAATGTAATGTGAACAGTGGAGGCGGATGTGGCGAGTGTGTGTTGGTGCTTCAGGCACTGGTTCGCCAGTCTCTGTGCAATGAATTCGCAAGTGACCGACCAGCCCGATGCGTTAGGTGAATGTACGGGGACAGTGTGGACGAGAAATCGGCAATATCAGTATCAGCTTCGGTGATGGTGATGGTGGAACTGGTGGTGGAATGAAAGCTAGGCGACGGGGTGTGGATCGGGCCGAGCATGATGGGTGTGCAATATGTACTGAATGTGACTGAGCTGGTGGCGGTGGTCGCGCTGGGCGACGGAGTGTGGGCGGTTCTAGGCATGGTTGGTGTGCTGGATGTGCTAGGTGTGTCGAGGCTGCGGTCAGTTCCGCTCTTGGGGATACGCGTGGAACTGAATAAGCCCATGCGGCGCGTGAATGTGCAAGGACAGTGTGGACAATGGAGGCGGATGCAGCGGGTGTAGGTTAGTGCTCCAGGCACTGGGTCGCCAGTCTCTATGCGATGGATTCGCAAGTGACCAGACCCATGTGTGAGGTGAGAGTGCGATCGCAATGAGGACAGGTATAGACCAGATCCTCTTTAGTGGTGCTGACGGTGGTGGGGTTGTTGGCGTTTTTTGGTGTGTCAGGATAGTGTGTAGTGTTGATGGCCATAACAGACGCCACATCGGTGGACGTTGAGGCGGTGGAGGAGGAGGGAGGAGGATGGTTGTGGTGTTTGGGGAAGGCGGTCAACGTTATGTGACGGTGTGGGAGGCGAGGGGGGTGTGGACGTAGAGATGACGGTTGGTGCACTCCGGGTGCTGCATTTGGTCCGGAGGTGTCCAACAAGTCTGTTTAGTGCTCGGAATGTCCGTTGACATCGTGGGAACGTTAGAGGCGTTCTCGTCAGCGGCGGCAGCGGCGACAGGAAGGTTGGCTAGCTGTTAAGCTGGCTTATTTCTGAAGTGGAGATGGTGAGCAGGCAAAGACAGCAAGGCAATATTCAGCTTACTTGGTGGTCGCTTACCTTCAGGTTACCTGCGTGGCTGTAGGAGGATTCTCATCTTGGGGAAGATGAAGCAATGGCCGTTCCACCCGTCGGCCCCCTGGATTGCCTTTGTCATTAGCAAGTCCTGCTAGTCTCACCTCCGGGCGAGGACATATTCCAGCAAGTGTCACTGTCGCGACCGAGATTGCATCCACTTGGCCTTCTCTCGCATCGGGAGGCGGCTGAAGGTGTTGGTCAGGACTAGCCGGTGTTCTGTGCAGGCTCGTAGGAGGAGTAGGCCATTGTCACTGGAGCCGTTGAGATCATGGGGGCCCAGCACCCCTCTCTAGGCAGCTGGCCTGTGCCGACGCGGGCGTTGAAGTCACCAAGGTCAGTGGACTTATCCTCCTTCGGCATAGACGATAGGAGGGCTTACAGGTCCTCGTAGTATTTGTTCCTCGCCTCGTCGGGACTAGTCATCGGGGGATCATAAACACTGACGATGTTGGCGAATTTGCCTCCCTGGAGAGGCAGGCGGAGGCTCATCAGACGATCGTTGATACCCCGCGCAGACAGGGCAGTCGTCTCACAATGTCATTCCAGATGGCAAAGGTGACGCCCGCGTCCCGTCGCTCTGCTCTGGGGCGACCGCTCCAGAAGAAGGTGTAGCCGGCACCAACCTCCTCCAGTTGGCCTTGTTCAGAGAACAGAGTCTCATTGAGCGTGGCGATGTCAACCTTGTAGCGCGCAAGTTCCCGATCCACTAGCGCCGTCCTCAGCTCTGGTCGGTTGCTCCTCGGATAGCTTAGGGAGAATGAACTGGCCTGGCTACCAGAGTGAGCGGACTTACCCTACCATTCTGGTGAGTGGGGCGGCGGGGAGGAGGAGGAGGGGCGAGAGAGAGTTTTGTTTATGGTTTAATTGTTTCGGCCGTGATTTTTGCGTCTGAGGCCTGGGTCAGCCAGCAGATGGTGTGGTTCTGCAGCACTTCTTTGGGACGCCTTTCATAGTGCCTTCCTCCTTGCTGGGGTGAACAGTGCTCTACCTCTATAGGACTGTTTAGTTGTCCCAGGCGGCCGCTGAAGTTCACCACTGGCCACGACTTCTGCGTAGCGGGAGTGCGACCCGAGTTAGCCTGTGACTGCCTACGACATCGCCGTAGGCGTGAAGGGTTGTAGGGGGGGAAGGGTAGAGAGTCGGTATGCAGAGTTTTCCCGTCCCTCTAGGCCAACTGGCTGCTAAAATGAAATCGGTGAGCAGACAAATTTAACAGAACTGCAATTAGCTTACAGTAAGGACAGTCACAAACAAGCAGACAAAAAGCAAGCAGACAAGAAAAAGTGAAAGCAAAGGCAACAGAGCAACGTTCGCTTACCTTGTGGCCTCTATAGTGTTCCAAATGGAGCATAATCACGTATATACCGGTGCCGACCAGCGGAGCCAAGATTACAGTGTGCGCAGATGCATACACGAATGTTGTCACTTGGTTTAGCCCTCCGATGGAGGCAGTTACCAGGGTGTGGCCGCTAGGCAGAGCCTAACTTCTGGGAGCCACAAGAGCGAGTTGGGTGCCAGAAAATGGACGTTAGGTGTAGCCTCTACCAGCAAGCAAGCGAGGGACCTACTATTACTGCCCTATGGCCCCACAGCTGAACACTCCTACACCCCACAATGTGTGTATTTGGCCACAACGACAATAACAGGACGACGATAAAGGAACAAATTGCACTCAAACACTCAACATCTGACTTAATGAGTGTTATGCATCCCTTACATATTTCCAATACCGAATATTGCAGACAGAAATTCCGACAAGATTTCATTTCGTAGCCGTACCTGTTAGGGGTTATGCTTAGGGGTAAGGGGTTGGGGTTTGGGGGTTAGGGACCCAATTCCTAACTTTGTCAAATATCAAGGCCAAAGGGCAACAAAGACTATTCGTATAAATAAAGCAATGGAATTTTGTCAGCCTGAGATTAAATCTAACATCAATGAAGTAACCCGACCAATACAAGCATATGCCTCCCCTCCATCGACTGTAGCGTTTTCCCACCACCTAGTCGAATTCTAAGGTACTGTGTTGTGTGTTGTGTAAATAGTAGCGTTATTAAACTATTTTCGTCATTATACGGGTACTTCTGATCCACAGGGAGCTCGAAAGGGCATGAGAATACGTTTCTTCATAAAGTGTGGTTTTGGACGAACTATGTGATCAAGATGACTTCCAAAATCTGAATTAATGATGTGAAAATTGAAAATATTCCAAATGTTTTTAAACCGAGAATTTGACTCAAATGTTCAAAAAATCATTTTTTGAACATTTGAAAAGCTCAAATGTTAAGCAACTCAAAGTTCGTTCGTTCCGAAAACCGTCCCGCACGTGTATAATAGGCACAACTTTATTTAATTAGAATTTCTAACTACGCGCCCCGAACGTAGATATCGTGCAGTTGGTAGGTTTCAAAACCATGATAACGATAGTGATAACCCCAAATATAGCCTTCCAGTAAAATCTCCGCCATTTTCAAATTAACTAGAAGTTGGATGTTTGTAATATACTAACTTTGGATTACAGAAAGCCTCAATTCACTTGGCATTCATATATTTTTCTCCTTTCTACTGGTGGATACCATTCTGAGAAAAGATACCTGCCTGTAGGCAACTGGCGACTTTTGGTATTAACAAATCAAGTCATGCATATCTCATCTACTTTTCAGACATGTTAAGTTAATCGTTGAAGCGTTACGAATGTCTTCGAGAAGGCTAACCACCTTTTCTCTTCCGGAAAAACTTCCCAAGTACTGATACAGTACTATTCAAAGTTTGGAAAGACATTGGAGATTTTTGGTTATATTTCTAATAGTAAAGAGATATGCGCGAAAATTCTATAAAAACCTTACCTACTTTTCATGATCTTATATGTTGTGCAGGCTGCTGAATCTATATGAGTGTAGATGTAATTTGAACTCAATTTCCTTTTGTCTTTATATAACCATGATTGCCTTGTCGTTTATACTTCCCGCCGGCGTGTGCAGCCACATATTAAGGGGTGGTCACAAATATTTATTCAAACAGACTTTCTTGAAATAACCGTAAAAATATTTTTTCTCCTTTCTGCTACCCTCCTTCACAAAAGGTAGTAGCATATGGGGCTCTACGAAACTTTTCCCTGCGGCGAAAGCTTAAAACTCAAGCGGCCTCATTAAGTTCGTATCCATTAGTCAAGAGTCAAGTAGTTATATGCTGCTTGTTAGGGCTTTTGCGAGCCAAAGACAACTCATAACTTCACCTTGTCTGCAGGTTAGGCAATTAGTGCTTCTTTTCCACAAATTACCGCTATTAGCATACTGCAAACACACTTTGTTTGGAAGACATCGGAGAACTTAACTTTTATGGTGCCGCCAGAATAGACGATTTTGAAAAGGAAGTTTGCCGCTAACTTAATATAAAAAACAAAGTTTGTCTTTAAACTAGAAGGCAGTACTAAGTGCCTGGTCTGGACCGGTGCTTTAAGAGCTCTTGTCAACGAGCCACATCATTTTCTTCGCTTGAATGGCGAAAAATAAAACGTGTTCTTAATAAAAAGGGCTTTTCTGTTTATCAGAAAGATGTAATCGCAAGTGTTCCGACTTTGGATTCTGTAACGAACTGGAATTCGGCGTTGTTGGGGGTGTGAAATCTGGTCTTAGCAAACATACAGATCCGTAAAATGTTAAATTAAAAGGCAGTCCGTTCTGATAGGATAGACAAAGGCCATAAATCTATCATTCTCGGTGCCTTTCTGACGTCCTAAGCTTGCAGTTTTTACAACGTCTTCGAAGTACAAAAATGGTGGCCAATTATTTAACTGAGGCACTTGCTGCAGTCCCTGACCGCCATCAATTGTAGTCACGTGATTATACCTCGTGGTTATGGACTGTTATATTTAAGCACCTAATTGTCTGTCTCTCAAAACCCAAACCAAAATATCTTTCATAGACGTTTTGGCAGATTTTGAATAATTCCTATTGACCCAACTGTGAAAATCTCGGCGCCTTGGTGCGATTCGAACCCACGCAGTAAGTGGACGGCTTTAGTACAGCCAACGCTCTAACCACTTGAGTTACGAAGCCCCGCCGGACGACGCGAGTTTAATCACATTCGGGTCAGTTTACCCACCCAACCTACTGCAACGTCCGGACGACGCGAGTTTAATCACATTTGGGTCAAGTTACCCATCCAACCCACTAAAACGTCTGGAATCCACCAAATCTGATACAGTAAGTTGACTGTCCAAGCAGGATTTGCAAATTAATTCACTTAGAATCCACAGGATGACTACCAGGCTCAAATAATTCATAGGCGTTTTGGGCAGATTTTGAATATTCATATTGACTAACTGTATCAGATTTGGTGGATTCCGGACATTGCAGTAGGCTGGGCGGGTAACGTAACCCAAATGTTATTAAAGTCGCGTCGTCCGGCGGGGTCTCGTAGTTCAAGTGTTTAGAGCGCTGGCTGTACTAAAGCCTTCCCCTTACTGCGTGGGTTCGAATTCCACCGAGTCGCCGAGTTTTTCACAGTTTGGTCAATATGAAATATCTTTCATAAAATACATTCAGTCAGCATCCCAGCCAAAAGCGTCATGAGAGGAGAATGTGTCTTGCTGAACCTCTTTTCTGGTATACGGAGCATTTTCTTACCAGATAACCTAAGGTAAAGTAAATTAAAGCGATGCGTGCCACATTTGGAGTTGAGGAATTTGTATACATTAAAAGGAAGGCTGCGTACATGGGAAACATCTGAGGTGGGAGCTAGAACTGTGTTTCTGTGGGGTTTGAATCCGCTTTTCCAGCAAATCTTTAGAATATTTCTCTAAAGTCGACTCAAATTCTAGAGGTGCATCATGTAAGAAATAACACCCTTTGACAAGGTATTGTCGAAGGTTAACTCTAATTATTATTTAGAAATTTCCCGACTTATTTTTGGGAGGTTCCTTTGCTTTCAACTTAGAAGTACAGGAACTATGGATCTTTCGAAAACAACGATTCCTGATTTGACGCGGTGGAACCTCCACTGAGTAGACTTAAAGAACTGGAAAGTGTTCAGTGCACGACATAGTAGATGACTAGGATTCATTTTTGTTCACTGTACGGACACAATGACAATGACAACGAGTGAAACCAAATAAAAACGCCTATAAAGACACAAAGAAAGCGTTAGAAGCCCTTGCCATGTCCAACTATGTTGTGTCGTGGTAATGAAGGTCCACATTTAAAGCCATTTCCTCGGTAGGATTCTAGAAAACGCTGCTGACTATTTGGAGAGAACGCAGACAAAGGAAGTGAAATGTGTGCCCACTATCAAGATTTTTTGAGAGAAACAGAAATAGGACCTTACATTTATTCTGGAGGGATGTCGAGTTATCCAATCAGATGGCCGCCTTCCATGCTACGGTCTTTCCTCATATATAGTGGCAAGTTTGATCCAAACCGATTGAAAGTTATGCAAGTTTGGAGCACAAGCCCAGTTTACATCTTACGCAGACAGGTGGGATACATCTCAAGTAAGATGCGGTTCGATTAGTCAACCAAGGTGTCTGTATTATGTCAAGATATCCATGCCATCTGAAGGATCTGTTGATTATGTAAGTCGCTGAACCCGCAGACTACCAGTGGCAAATAGATTGGACCTAGCCGTTTCAGCTGTCCTCGTTGCTACATATTGTGCTATCAAAACAGTACCAAATAATTCTCTCGTCCGTTGATAACCACTGAAACAGTCCCAAATGAACTTTTTGGAAGTACAAAGTGGTTTGGTAATCGTACTACAGGCGTGGCATTAGCTGATCTGTACTGGTTGCAGAACGAGAATCGGAC